CAGACCCAAGACTAATAGGTTCTGAATTCACCCCCTTCTTAGGGTTAACCAATGTAGTGATCCTAGGTACAACCTACAGACCCATGAATAATAGGTCCTGAATTCACCCCCTGAAGTCAGAACTGCACAATATATACAACAATGTATGTGAATGAGATATGAGCAGCTCCACCACAATTAAAACTATTCTTTCCACTATAATTATGATTTTAATGTGATTTTTCACTTCTTAGTAATAGCAGTTAGTGTATATAGTGATTCTTTATGTGTTTGTTTGTAATATTATTTAGCTTTATTTAGCATTCTGTTTAGTTGGTTAACTTTACTGTATTTTAGTGTAGTTTATTTTATTTTTATACGACCATAGAACAACTCACTGTAGTTTGTTTTAGTGTTGAATAAATATTATTATTATTAATATAGTGATCCCGGGTACAAACTATAGACCCATGACTTCTAAATCCATCACGACTCGAACAGATTTAATTTAGGAGATCAAAACTTCATTATAGTGTCCAATGTGTGATGCCAAGACAACATATTAGATTGTCTTAATGCCATTCTGAGAGGAAGATAGTAAGTAGAAACCCTTGTTGGATGTTAACCTCCAGGTCATTGTGATACACCATTTAGTTAAAAAGCACATGTTTCTATTGCATATTCTATGACTTAACATTATTGAGTGAAAGCTGATATACTTAATCAGTGATACTCTGAGATAACAGGGAAATATGAGCCAGTATTAGCCAACATCAGCTCATTTTTATTTAACTACAAGAATGTTGTATTGCCAATTTAGGTCAATATGAGCAAACAGTTCAGAGGCTGTATAATGATTACATACACACTATGTAATAATAATTATCTTTATTGCGTTTGTATCCCTATTAGGATTTTGAATAAAATGCAATACAGATGTGAATAAAGACAAACAAACAATTAAATTTAGAATGTATTATAAACCATGTGTGAAAATCAAAAAGGAATTCAGAAAATCACTGCACCAGATGTTTCAGATCAAAACAATTAAAGCATAATTGGACAGTATCCTTAGTATTATGTGAAATAATATATTAATATAGCTACATGCATATACAATATCATATTCCAAAATACACAAATTCCACATTTGGATTTTTCCTCATATTTAAAATTTTCTTAAATCTGTATAGTAAAAAATCTTTATCTCCAAACGAGTGTACATTTAACCAATCTGATTAAAATCTGATGTAGTGTACGGGCTTTAATTATTTTGGCTATAAATTTATTTTAATTTTATTTTTTATTACTTTTGTTATTAATTCCTTTTTATTTTACTTTGATTTTTTGTAATTCCGCCCTACATACATCTGATCCGACGCCTACGTAAGTCCCGTTCAAATCTCGCGTAAGTAACAGCCAATCACAGGCCCCCTTTTATACAGGCTGTCGGTTGCTTACTTTTCAGTGTAGCGATACTCTACGGGCAATCTTTCTGTACATTATATTTTGCCCACTTGAATAAAACATTAATAGAAAATTGCTAGTATATTTTTATTTACAAAAGAAATTCCACAGCATTTTACAATTTTTGTCTTTACATTGAATATTTTGTTCACTTGCAACAATTGTGTACACTTCCTGATACATCTTCGCCAGCCAAGGTTCGTTTATTCAGTCATCGCTTCAATTTTACATCAAACACTGAGCATAATTATCTAGAACGGAAGCAAGTAAATCGTAAGGATTAGAACACTGTAAACAGCTATAGTAAACAATGCAAATTTTAAATTGTATAACGGTCACCGGCCCACGGCATCGACGCAGAAAATTGGAGCAAAAACATATTTCCTGATCAATTGCGATGTGTTCCAAATAAAAAATATTTTATTCCAGTCCAAATCAGCTCAATTACTTTAATAAAGAGTTATTGTATAATGTACAAAATGTTGATACATTTTGATGAATATTTACAGCTACGGCTTCAATACCGTAGACGGTTTTGAACCGATCGTCAACAAAACATCACCCGTCTCCAGGGCAAGCGACTGGAAAAAGACACCGGTGTTCGGTCGAACCGGTGGAAACAAACAATTCACTCCCAGAATAACTACGCAAAATAACGATCTAAACTCGAACCATTCGAGCCACAATATAAACATAAAAAAATGACTTTCGTTGCATTTGACAATGATAAACTTACCGAAAAGCCGTGTTCTTCTCGGTCGCTAACGTCGGTATAATCCGCCATTTTATTTGAGTGTGTTTGCCACCTGACTCTGCCCGGTGACGTCATCATGTGCGCTATAGAAGAAGGTCTGTGATTCGTTTACTAAAATCGTCGACAGTGGGTCTCCTTGAAATCTCGTTACATAGGCATCGGCTCAGATGTATGTAGGGCGGAATTTTAAAAAAATCACAAAATCAAAATCAAAGTAAAATAATAAAATAAAAAGACATTAATAACAAAAGTAATAAAACATAAAATTAAAATAAGTTTATAGCCAAAATAACTAAAGCCCGTACACTACATCAGATTTTAATCAGATTGACATTTAACTACACTGACAACTGTATTACATGTCATTAAACATTTTCTTGTATTACCGGTACATACTACCCACTATACCACTATAAGAAGATTATAACACAATCAAAATTAATGACACATGAACAAGTATTATAATGAAAGGTCAACCCTGTCTAGACTTCGTGAAAAATGTACTCATTG